GGGGGGGGGGGGGGTCGAGAAAACGTTCCTCTGGAAAACCTTTGAAGTTTACGTTACTTCATGTCAGTATCTGTTCCAAGCCCGTTCGAAATTTTTCAAACACACTTGGCTTTGTGAGTTTGTGCCGCTATGCTTTTTACTTAACTACGACATTTTCATTCGGCCAGGTACACCATCAAACTGATCAAAATGTCAAATGTATAATAATAATGAGAATTGAAGCTATTTCGTTTCAGATATATTAATATACTTAGGCAAATAATTGAAAATAATTTCCCTTTCCCCCAGAATTTGAGCGTCCAAAGGCGTCCATTTTTTGTTCTAGGGGCGTCCCATGCAGGACGCCTGGACGCCCTTCTGGCTAAAAGCCTGCTCACGAGTCTTGAAAGACCAATATTGAATTTGAAAAAAAAGTAAATCAAAGTCCTTGAAAATTGGCGCAGTTCCTTGAACCTTGTTTAAACCATTGATCTTGAATAAATAATAGGCCAAACCATTCAAGTCGAGCGCCGCTTTGGAGAGAAGCCAATAAAATATTGTATTGAATCTCACAATTTTTGCTAGCCAAAAATTACTAATGCATCAACAACGTTGTTAATTTCAGCCTCGAATTGAGCAGTACTTCGATCAGATCAACAGGATTATAACTGCTAAGAAAGTCTCATCAAGAGTTATATTCATGCTTCGTGATGTGATCGAGCTTCGTCAAAATAAGTGGATTCCTCGCCGGGAAGAAAATTATAATCCAAAGACTATTGATCAAATTCACAAGGAAGCACAAATGGAGAAAATTCAGGAACAGAGATTAGCGGCCCAGTTGCCTGCGAAGGATAATAAACACAAGAAAGGCGGGCCAGGTAATACTTATATATTAATAACAGTTATTCTGCGAACTCGAGTCGTATATGAGCTCATAGCCGACGGGATGAGTTTGGCTTACAGTCATATACGACGAGAGTGAGTAGAATATAACTGTTTTATTATACAGAGTGTATAAAAAAATTGAACAGATTTGAAATTGCTCTCAATTTCGCAAAACAGCTCGTGGTACCCATAATGTAGAATAATGGGAAAAAAATACTCAAATTTTGTAAACCAGGGGGGTGTTTCTTTTCCAACAAACTAAAAATGGCTTGCGCACGAAATTTGAAAGCTTTAATCGTATTTTGAGTTAATGATGGAAAATTTGTTGGGTTTTTAATTACTGTACAAAATTTCAGACAATTTGCTTTAGTTTAAGCCTTTAACTATTCATTTTTTTTCTAAAAAATCAGCCTTTCGCATGCTTAATTAATGCCTTTACCTAATTTGCATATTGCAGCAATATGCTGAACATTCGTAACTCATTCACTCGTTCACATCCATCAGAAGAAGAGAATAACACTAAAAATCCAAGTGGTTTACTCGCCTCTGGAAACATATAGCTAGGAAACAATATTTCTGCATCAGTGTTCACTAGTATGTCCTTATCCTTATCCTGGCTAGTATTAATAATAATATGCAACATTCACTGATGTCTTACAATATTAGACAGTTTTAGATAACAAGACGGGGACGTCAAGAGGACGTGGATGTCGTCATTTGGCGCCAACTATCGTCAGCTTCTGGTTTGCGACGTCGTCTTGGACGATTTCACGACGCGAAAATACAATTTTCACGTCCTCTCTAGAACGTCACAGATTTTTGTTTCTTTTGAAAAAAATATGAGACTATGCATAATAAAAATCATCCTATTTTGTTCCCCATGCATTGTTTAATGATACTAGCTAAAGTTTTTCCATTGCCAAGGTTGTTTTTCTTGTATTTCGCTAAATTTTGGACGAGCTGATTTTCGACAAATACTTTCGGTCGCCATAAACAAATCAACAAAACTGCAAGCATTGTTAATAACCACTTCAATACCGCTAGTAATCATCACCAAAACAAATATTTTAGAACAAACTAAACTGAAGTTATATTAACAACTGTTTAAAATCAGGAAAACGTGGGAAAATAGAAAAATAAAAGCACTTAAAAGCAGTAAAAACTCAATCAATTTTAGTTGCTCTGTCACAACAGTGCAAAAAGTAGGACAAGCAAAAAAACGCTTTCCAGCGTGAAAAACTATCGTAAACAGTATTAAATTTTACCAATGTGAACACTGATGCTATATTTATACTGAACAGTTGACAAACTTGATTGAATAGGCTACAAACTAAAGCATTTAGCTCGTAAACAATACCTGCTGCTATTGTATTTATTCCAAATGATGCAACAAAGTTCACTTTTCAAAATACCGAAATATAGGGTTTTTTCTAAAAAAAACTTATTGAATGTTCATACTAATTCATCAGGAAATACTTAGCCAGTATTATATAGCCTTTTCTTGCACATATCTTGCCAACTGATTGAAAACAATACAGGAATGAACAGGTAACAAGAAAACAAAAATTTGCTTCGAGAAAGACAAACAAGCCGTCCCAGATCAAAACCCGGAAGTGAACGCGAGATGCATACGTCATTTTCACGTCCTCTTGACGTCCGCGTCTTGTTATCTAAAACTGTCTATTACATTTACAGGGGGACGAGACAGTCCTAAGCCAACATCAAATGATGGATGGATTACCACTGGCAAGGGTGGAAAGTCTGTGCCTATTGATCAAAATAAGCTGAGGAACATGGCTAAGGTAATTTCAGTACCGGTTGTACGAAGGACGGATAGCGCTATCCATTAGATAGTGTCTTTTTTAACCGTTGTAAAATGTTTGAAAAGCTGTAAAAATACGGAGATGAACCTCACAATTACTGAAAAGAAAGTTTGATTTATAAATACTTAAAGTTAAACTGGGTTATACCAATCAGCGGATAATTTTAGAAAACGTGCTTTCGTACAACGGCCCCTAGATTGTCGACTGTCTTACAATAGGTGTTGAGGAAATGAATTCAGTGACTGGAAAGAGCAGCTGAAAATTAGTAGCTATACACATTTGACCACATTTGGTTAAATCTTGAGTTAATAATTATGTTCATGTTTACTGTAGCGAGCGACTACTGAGGAAATCTCCTTGGGTCCCAGTGCTCGGTTCGGCCAGTGGGGTCGCGGTAGCTCTGCTGGTTTGAATAATTCTTCACAAGAACAAGATCAACCTCAGGCGAACAGATTTTCGGCATTAAGTGCTGGTAGTGGTGGTGGTGATATGCCATCCAACCGACCCTACGACCCCAGAAGATCTAATTCAGCTGGTTCAAGGTAAGGAATTGTATTTTTGATAATTTAACACATATAGCAGTGGACTAGATTACTAAAGGTTGAGAGTTCAAATCATGTGTGCTCATATATAAAGAATACGAAGTCACCACCAATCTCTGTAGACTTGATAGCTCAACAGATGGAGAAGTGGGCTAGATTACTAAAGGTTGAGAGTTCAAATCTCGCGTACTTATAAAGGATAAGAAGTCAGCACCAATCTCTGTAGGCTTGATAGCTCAACATTGTAGAGCAGTGGACTAGATTCCTGAATGTTGAGAGTTCAAATCTCGTGTACTTGATGTATAAGGAATCAGAACTCACGGCAATCTGTGCATAGGCTTGATACGACAAAAGGTTAGAATCAGTTACTTGATAAACTTTCACATTTTTTAGGCCCTCGTCAGGTGGCTCGCGGGGAAGTGATAAAAGTCGGGTCAAAAGTGACAAAGATCGAGAGAGCGCACTTGAAGCAGTGAGAGCTCTTAGTAAGCCACAGAATGAGAAACCGCAAGTCACACAGGTATAGTGTTTACATTCATCCCGCTTCGACCGAGCCTTCAACGCCATTCTTCGACTATTGTGTATACAGCTACTATAAACATGTTGTATAAACTGCCTCGTGCCTATGCGCTTTGGTTTGTTTCTTTACCACATCAAGTGCACGCCGTAACGATACGCGAGGGAGAAAAACTTAAACTGAAATTCACGAAATCGATCAAATTCATCCACGCGGCCTCACGCAAAGGCCACGCAGCAGCGACGCGAGTCAGAACCACAGAGTAGTTATACAAAAATCCGTAACGCCGCCTCGCCATGTATTCGCAATGATTCACCATCGAAATGCACTCGCGATGTTCCTGACCAGTGCGCCTTGGCGAGGCATCCAGACCACCACCCCCCTGAACGTCCGTCATTTTGAATAGAATTTTAATATCTTGAATTGGCAGTTTACACGATGGTAGACTGAAAAACTCAAGTTACATATTGGAAGATAAAAGTTAAACACTTAACAATTAATTAATTAATTAATTACAACAATCAAAAAGGAGTTATTTAAATTAGCTATTAAATGTCAAAGTTTTAAAAGTGCAATGTCATATTGAAACGTTATTCTAGGTAAAATGTTATTAATCCAGGCATAGTTTATAAAGAGTCCCATTTTCTTACGCAATATGGCAGACAGCTATCGCCAAATCGGTTCGTGTGTGATTTAAAAAGTGGAATGTTCCGAACATTTCTAAGATTGATCTCATGATTCAATGATTTCGGCAGCAACTCAAAGATTTTGCTAGGGGGTAGATGCTTCTCGTAAAGGTACTGTCTTGGTACTTCAAAGGCGCCGACAAGAAGTCGGACTTCTGCAAGTGTTTATTCTGTGCCACCGCGGCAATATAGTGCCTGGGCATGAGGCAAGTTCTATAAAGTCGACCCGATAGCCCATGGCGCATGTCAGTGACTTTGACTGCAAACTAATCTGTTCAATTATAATCGTGTTAATAGCCGCAACCCCCAAGGCAGGAAAAACAGGAGGTTAAAGTAAGCAAAGAACCAAAAGAACCTGTTAAAGAACCAAAAGAACCTGTCAAAGAACCAAAAGAACCTGTCAAAGAAGCATTGAGTGAAGATGAATTAGCCAAGAAAACGACCGCACTAATTGATGAATATGCTAACATTCGAGATTTAAAGGTAAAGCTTGTTGATGTTTTGGTTACGATATATTCGATGCATTTAAGGTTACAGAACACCTTTGAGTGTTAATTTTGCCTAAAATTTTTTTATTGGTTTTCATGAAAGCATTAGACTAGTTCTATCTGACCAAGTTTGGACGAAAAATGTTGAAAACTCGCAGAGTTATTTAATAAAATACATTTCGCTGCAATAAGAAAAACATTGAAAATGTAATATTCAAATTCAATTTTCTCGCGAAGAATTTTACGGCAATTACTGATTTTCAAACGAGTTGTGCTCCTGCGGGTTTTAACCAATTTTTCTCAAATTTTCACAGGACATAGTAAAAGGCGTCAGTTTCAAAATTGTGTTCGGCTTTTTTTAAATTTTGGATATTTTAAAAATAAAGAGCAATTGACTCAAACAATTCAGAAATATATTGCAGTCGTCAAAGAAATCGCCATATCAGCGGAATGACGAAATAAACAAAAATTTCCGAACACAATTTTTTAGAACAACTATTTTACTGTATAAAAATGATATTTTCATAAATATATCTTAAAACCAGCAGGAGCACAACTCGAAAGCGTAACGGTACCGCGATTTAAGATTTTCCTAAATAATTCTTACATTATTTTATTATTTGTTTATTTTACAACTTTACCATATTTTGCATGCACTGGAGAACATCTGGTGAAAATTTGATGAAAATCGGACTGATATTGAGCGCGCAGTAGCGATTTTTCGCAAAACGCCAAAAAGGGTGTCCTGTAACCTTAATGTACACACGTAAAAACGCGCAAGTTGTTACAGCTCTGCAAACAAGTTATAACAAGGTTGTCGTCAAGTCTATATCAGGATGTGTTCACACAGCTTGTTCCCAGTTGTTGTGCCAAGTCTGGAACAAGTTGTTATCACCTTGTTACAAAGTTGATGAAAGTAGCAGACTTGTTACAAGTTGTTGCAACAAGACTGATACAGTCTGATCGTAACAGTTAAGTTGCTACGAGCTTGTTGTATCATCTTGTTAACAACTTGTTGCGTGTCTGTTGGTCTCATCGATTTGTTGTATATCTATTGGCCTCATCAACCCTTCCAGAAAATTCTGGAACAAGGTGTTATCTTCTTTGTCTAGTTATAGCCTATTGAAGGGAAGATGGCTGTAAAACTCATTGGAAACAATATAACTCATCTACCTTTTAACGAATAACTCGTCTATGTTAGTCAACGTTTATTCATAAATCTGGTCCTTCACTGTCACGTGTGTTTTGTATTTTTGCCAAATCCACCAATAACAATTTCCAATTTCCCTATTGTTCGAGTCACGGATAGGTAACTTTCCTAAAATATTGCTGTTGGTTAGTTGGGCAAAAATACAATACACACGTGACGGTGCAGGACCAGATTTATGAAAAAACCTTGACTAACAGATAATAAGTTATATTGTTATTACAATGAGTTTCACAACCATCTTCCCTTCGATAGGTTATGATCTAGTGGAATCAATGTTACTGCTGTTTACAGGAAGGGACCATCGAACCTTTCATACCTAACCCAACTGATGCATAATTCGAATGGTCCGTTGATTGTATGAACCAGACTCTTTTTAAACAGCCCTAACATTGGTCCTTGTAGACCAGTTTTAATAGTCTAAGTGTCATTAGTTCATCTCTTAGATTGAATTTCCGATGCCCACTAATAATTAGCTGTTCGGGACACCCTGTATAATTTTCTAACATGCTGGCAATTGTGTTTTCAGGAAGCGATCACGTGTTTCACAGACCTTCATTCCCCCAACCTTCATTATCTGTTTGTATTGACTGCTGTTGAACATACTTATGAAATGTCGTCGAGAGCTCGTTACGATACTGGAAAGTTGTTTGTTGAACTGCTATCACAAAAAAAACTGAGCAAGGAACAACTTACTAAAGGGTAAGCAGGGCTTTCAGAATTATTCTGAATAGGTGGCTGTGTTGATCAAGTAGACAGCTGTGGGGAGAGTGGTCAAGGGAGTTTTAAAGTCATACAAATTAACTACGGTAGTGTATATTGATTAGATAGCAACCATAGATATCTTATATATACTAGATAGCGCATCTCTTTTAGTAAAATTGAAGCCAAGAATATTCCAGCGTTTACCCCCATTTGAATCGATGGCGACCATGTTGGAGTTTCCCACCCGCTAATAAACGCTTAAAAAACAAAAAAAACTTTCATCATTTGAATAGTTTGAAAATGTATTTGGAATAGGTTTAACTTAATGTTTAAGTTCCCTGTTTAAGAAATAGAAAACATATGAGTCTTCTCATTTCATGGGAATATCCTGAGTCTGCAATCACGGCTTCAATTTTTGAATTGCAGAATAATTAGACACACTATCTAGTGTATATAAGATATCTATGATAGCAACACAACTGAGCTCTGTAGGTCTGCAACCAAACTATAATAATTACTTTCGTTCTTCAACATCATAACTTCAAGATTTAAGATGGCGAGTAACTAAATCGGTTTTACATAATGTTATGTTCTTTTCGAAATTAACCAGACTATAAAGTAGACCAGGTTGAGGAAAAATAACTTTGTTGGAAAGCTTAGAGTGGAGGAAGGAGAGCAGGATTGATATTTCAAGTACTAAACAAAGTAACCGGCGGTAAACCTCGTGCCACCCGCTGGCTCATTTTGAAAGCCCAGGGTGAGACTAGGAGACATACAGTAAGCTATGGTTTGTGTCTATAAGCGTTGAACCGGTTCCAATTTTCGTCTTTTGATATTTTTTGTTTTCCCACAGTTTCAACAATGTATTGGAGGTCGCTTATGACAACGCAATAGATTATCCAATGCTGTGGAAATATTTGTCGGAAATTATCACTCCAGTTATCCTAGGAGATCTGTTCACACTATCTGATCTCAAGCCACAGATACTTGAGCATCTCATTCCTGTTGGCAAAGCTGCCGCCCTATTGGCTGAAATATTACTTATTACGAAAGAATTAAAGGTGAGTATATACGGTTTTGGTAGTTGGATAATTGTCATCTTGCAATTCAAGATTGAGCTAAATTAAATTAATTATACAGGGTGTATAAAAAGCAGACAATTATGAAACGGCTCTCAATTTTACAAATCCGTTCATTTCATGAAATTTTTGATAAATATAGATGTTTTGGTACTTATAAGGTAGAATAGACAAACATTTTTCGTAAGATAAATGGAGGTCCAGCAGGGTCTTAGCTAGGATTTTAGATCTTGGGCGTGTTTCTAATGACCAAGGTGTGCACATGTCAATTATTACCTTGAATAGCCAAATCACGGTTCTAGTTATGCTCGCCAACAACAATGTCCGTGGTTGTTCTATGCTTTGCAACCAAATACAAGGCGAGCATACGCTCATATTGCGCACTGACATTATTTCAGCAACTCTTGGGGGTATTTAAAACCATTTTAACACCATACAGTTCCCATTATCCATCAAAACATTAAAACATGACGGATCACTTTTGCCAATTCAACAACAACAGTTTTTAGAAATTCTGTCTGTTGTAAGTAGCACCACCTTATTTTATGAACCTACATGAACCTAGTGAAGCCGTGTTCATTTTATCTAGCCGTGTTTTTCCACTTTCGACCGCGATAACACGGCCGACACGGCCCTCTAGCTAAGACCCTGAGGTCCAGTAAGTGCAATCCCTTTTTGTCCCTATGTTACCACGTTACCACAGAAAAAACCTTGACTATAAAATATTTTTTTATACTGGACAGCTCTATTTGTTTTGCCCTGAACAATGCGTTGTTTGATATAATCAAAATGTAAAATTTTTTCAGAGCGAAAGTCAGGCAGTCCAAATATGGACAGATCTAGGAATTTCTTGGTCTCAGGTTTTACCTGAACGCTTAACAAAAGAAGACTTTCTATCAAGAAAGGTAAAAGATTGTCATCTTTGACCGTTTGAAGGTTGTGGAAATTAAAACTTGTTTCAAGGCGTGTTCCTAATAACCAGCTTCTTTCTTTAGAATTTAAATTTTTTGCCCTCAGAAAGTGATGAACTATTAAAATTACTCCGCGCTGATCAATTTAAAAATGATTCTGTATTTGCTCATATTGAGGTAAGTGAAATGATATTAAATTAAGGTTCGTTATATTTGTACTGGATAGCTCTATCAGTTCTAAACGGTTTCTACATGCCACTGATCCATTGATATACTACAGGAAGAAACTGGAGTACGGTACAGTACCCGTAGAAATTCTGCAGTGTTCGGCTGAATCGAACTGGATTTAGTTTTCTCAGATGCGACTGAAGGCACTTCAATTCTGATCACCTGCGTTATTGCAGGAATCAAACCCATGCAGTTCGATGAGGTTAAAGACGACGCCATTAATCGCCGATATTAGCTAACTGTTCGTTTCTTGTGTTATAGAAAAATTTTAAAGAAGAAAAGAGGAAAGAACCAGAATTTATAAGTCAGTTAGTCACAGCCGTAGCTGAAAGCTGTATAATAAATAAAGGTAACATATAAAAATCTAAATGGATGCAAAAATAATATTAAAGACAAAATGTGATACGATAATTTGAGTAATAATATGATGATAAGCGAACATGTGAACAACAATTACATTTCAAATACCGTAGTTGGTGACCAGAGCTAGCAGAGCACCTCCCCTTTGTAGAATAAAAAGCACACTTAATCGACGTTTTCAATGTCAAAGTTTTAGGATATGATGTCATTAGAAGATATTTTGGAGTAAAAAACAAAATGAAAACTAATTTGCATTCTATCTAATAACATCATATCAGAAAAATCTTAAAGTGAAAAAGCTGATTAAGATGATGAGGTCTTTTCCTAAAAAAATATATTACAATTTTTCTTAGAATAACCCAAATGTAACATATACAAAAATCATATTTGGTCAACCTGAATATTTTATTTTCTACTTTTAGACCAAGAAGTTGGTCCAGATTGTTGCCAGGATAAGCTAAAAGCCAGGAAAGATATATTACGCAAATATCTGGACAATAATAATAGTTTGGAACTTCAAGCATTGTTTGCTCTCCAGGAAATATATGTGAAATATAATAAACCCGCAGGTAAGTCATGAAACTTGCACTAACTTTATTATATGCTTGGTAGTTTTATCTGTTGGTTCTATAAGTCAGCTAGTCACAGCCGTAGTTTTATCTTTCCGTCCTTTATGGTATCGTGGTCACTACGCTTGCCTTTCAAGCTGGGAGACCCGCGGGTTCAATCTTTGGTCGGAACTCTACTCTCAAGGCACAGATTAAGAGGACCAGATGTCCGACTTCATTGAAAAAAGCGTAAGGGCTTGGTCACTGCGCATGCCTTACTGCGCATAGCTTAGCAAGTGACTAGAGGCATTCACCCCCCCGACATTAAATTTTAAAATGGCGGCAACAATTTTATTTTGAGACAACAAACATGAAAATAAACTCTTTTTATTTGCCCGAGAGAGGGATTGTGTGGTTAAATTTGTGTTTAAAACTTTCAACGTCAGTACGCGTATTGGAAAAGTGAGTTCATCGCAATATTTTACGAATTTTTCTCTTTTTCGATCGTCGTAGGAGTGAAAAACTATTGGCGAAATGAAAATGCCACTTTGCTGAGATATTTGAAGTCATTTTCTACAATGTACGATGTGTTTTCTTGCACTTTCTACGATGTCTGATATTCATTGACAAATTATGTGCATAATTTATAGTTTACTTTGCATAGATATTAACTAGCTAGAAAGCTGCTAGATAAGTAAATTCGTAAAGTCCTCTTAATCTGTGCTCAAGGTCTTAAAATGATTGAGGGGTGAAAGTGCCACTTTTACATTGACACCGATAAATGGTTAGACTTGCGCGCCTTCTCGGATAAGGACGTTAAAATCGTAGGTATACCTCGGATCCCCTGTCAATTGGGCAATATAGCCTGTTGGGAAATCCGCTCACCAATGAGTGAGAAACTCTGCAATAAACTCAATTTTTTTTCCAACCAAACTGCAAAGATTCCTCTTGCATGCGACCAGGCTTTTAGCCAGAAAGACGCCTTTGGACGCCCAAATTCTGGGGGAAAAGGGAAATTATTCTCATTGAGTTCTCTAAATATATTAATATATCTGAAACGAAATAGCTTCAATTTTCAATATTATTATACATTTGACATTTTGATTAATTTGAGATGGTGTACCTTGTTGTATGTAAATGTCGCAGTTTAGCCTAGTTTCCATTTGGTCGTTAGTTGTCGCTGGCACGATAAGTAGTACAATCAAAATAGAAAATAGGTCAGAAAAAATTAGTAAAAAGCCAAAAATTAGCGTATGTACTCTCTTCAGCAACCTTGATAACACAATAAAAGTCCTCATGTATCCTCTTGGAGCTTTCTCCATTATGCCAAGTTTTTTGTTCGATTTCCCTAGTGAACTCCTATATTGTTAAAAAAGTCGAAATCGAAAAAACCTTGTCATAATGGAAAAAGCTCCAAGAGGATACATAGGGACTTTTAGTATATTGTTCAGGATAGTTAAATTATTACATCTAACAATTTTCAGCTTTTTACTATTTTTTTCCAACTTTGGCCTTAAAATGAGCTAAAATTACTGAACTAAAATGGCTGAGTGTCAACAAAACTTTATAAAAGTCTGCAATCATTAAGACTGATTTGCATATCACATAAAAAGACTATTATTATATTAGACTATTTCACATCTACCGCTTGTCGTGCCAGCGACAACAACGACCAAATGGAAACTAGGCTTTAAGCAAAGAAGCATAGCGGCATAAAACTCGCAAAGTTAGGGGTGTTTGAAAAATCTCGAATGAGTTTTAGTAAGCTGGACAGATCCTGACATGAAGTAACCTCAAACCTCTAATACTGTCTAAGAATCTCAGACCCAAACTTCAAAGATTTTCCAGAGGAACGTTTTCTCAAAGCCCCCGTATACTGTAGTGTGTCATTATACCAAAATTAGACGCCCTCTTTCAAGATCCTGGCTAAAAGCCTGAGATGAAATTGTAAACGACAACTGCATACATATTATAGAAAATAGAAAGGCACCATGTACTAATAATCACTGTGCACCAACACGCCTGTAGAATTTGTAAGTTATTTTCATTAATACAATTCCTTTTTCTTTCAGCTATGCTGTCACAATTTTTTAACACACTCTACGATGAAGAAGTTATAACTGAAGAAGCATTTATGACCTGGAAACAAGACGAAAATCCTTTGAGGCAAGAAGGCAAAGGACCGGCTCTCCAAGCAACGGCTTCGTTTTTTGAATGGCTTCAGTCGGCCGCTGTTGAAGGCAGCGAAAACTAAATAACTCTGGAGAATTTTGATGGAAAAGGACATGTTTTAAATGCAATTATGCCGAAGAATATGATAGGAATGGCTATTTTTGGAAAAATGAATCTAAATTCCTTGGCGTTTTGCAGGAAGCGAACAAACTTAGAAGTTCGACACTTCTAGAAGTTTGTTTGCTGGATCTGCGACTGGCTTGACTTTCGCCTGGACGAACTTTTTCAAAGTCTTTATTTATAGAAAATTATTTTGGTCAAAAATCTATCTTCTTTCCTTTTTGGGAAATAGGATATAAAGCGTACATGTGATATGAGAATTAATTGATAATAATATTTGAAAGTATTTGAAGAGGTAGTAGGAATTTGTTGTGTGTCTAGAAAGGAGGCCGTGAAAAAAAGTGGAATCCTGGGGAACGTTTGTCTTTGCAGGGAAGATTAAGGAATATTTTCCATTTTTTACATATACGTTATGGGAGAATGATAAGGAACCATTAGGTCCTATTTCTCCCATCTGTCATTTGAGATGGTGAAGTATTGTTCGATGTTCAAATTGGGAGTGACGAATGGGTCATATTTTCCATTGTTTTTACGCAAAAGATTATGCAGGATCATTTGAAAAAGGCAAATTCAGGATTTTAGGAACATTAAATTTTTTCATGTCTGCTAGGTGGATTGGGGGGGGGGCTTTCCATTCGTATGAGGGTGCTTGAATGGCGGCTTCAGTCACTGCATGATCTGTAGATTTGTTCTTTCATCGCTATTTGAATTTCAATAAGCGCCAATTCAACGACACGGCTGCGCAACCGAATGGCGCGTTATTTTGCCACCTTTTTAATGTAATTGACAAAATGTCTTAACTGGTAGCTGACAAACAACGAAAAAGCATCGTGCAAAGACCCTGCGTGAGTGATGCTAATAAATGATAATTAGGGATAGATGCCTGACGGTAAAAGAACCCTTTTACAGGGGGTGGGACTCCTTGTCGCCCGTTACATTGACTATCGAGCAATCCAGTAGTGTTTTTGAGATCAAGTACTTATATAACGGAAGTAATTATCATTCGAAGAACATAATTGATAATTCCAGGAAATGATAAAGTATTGAAAATTAAACTGTTTCACGGTTGATGTTTTTAAAGTGTTGAAAGATTACTTCCGTGCCCATCTGTATATATTGACGAGGTAAAATTTTAATATTTTATTTGTAAAACTAATTTAATTTTAAATGTCCTTCATCATAAAAGTGACATTGCGTTAAAGAATATAAATACATAGGGGCAAACTATACTACAGCAGCATATTTATTTTTTCTAGAATCCTCATATTTGTCCATCTTACAGAATTGAAATATCAGATACGATGGTATGCTACCGGTATTTATTTTTAAAATGCTTGTAAATTTTAGATCTTACATCCGTGGCCCCGTGGGATGCAAGATCTGACTGTAGGATCGACAAACTGAACGGTTTTAAGACTTTTAAGTTTTTACTCCAAAAAGGAACATTTCTAATATAGTTTTAGCTATTAATCATCATTAGGACCATTCACAAAATATGTGATGCTTGTGGGGGTAGGGGATGTTTGATCAGGAGTCTTATACTGTAGTACGGAGGCACAGAATAAAGATCAGTACCAGAAGGGCCACTCAGCGGTGCAACGTGTCCCCATTTTTCTATGCAAAAACATGCAATTGACTGGCTAGGAAGATGGCGGCCAGCCAATACAGCGCGTTTATTGGCCAGAAAATCTAATCGACTGGCTAGGAAGATGGCGGCCAGGGTGACAGAAACTTCAAAGCTTCCGACGTAAGTGGCCCTTCTGTGTGCCTTATTCTGTGACGGAGGGGTGTCACAAGCAGTAACACATGAGGGCGTAATAGGGGAAGATTTATCCCTGTCTATAACAAAACTCTTAGACTGTGCTTGCAAATATGTGTCCCTTAGATGACAAAATTAATGTGCTATTCCATTTAATATCCGTACCCCCCCTGTCAAGGATACATGTTTTTCATAGTTATACCCTGAAGAATTCCAAGCTCAAGACCTTTTATCCCTGAAGAATTCCAGGTATCTTTGAGGAGGGGGGTGGTATGGATATTAAGTGGAATAGCCCAATCAATGTTTTCTATCAAAATACTCCTCCTGACATTGCCATGGAATATGGCACTCCCATTTATTCAACCGTGAGAACCTGAGTGGGCCCATGGGAATAAGCTAGCCTATATTTGCAAGTGCAGACAAACTATAATTATGCCTTCAAGGCAATATTTAACTGAACATAATTATATTATATCCAGAAGTGTGAATCTATAATCTTGAATTTCTTTATATTATAATTTCTTTATATTATAATAGGGGGGAAGGGTGTAGTTTTACATCCATTCATTTCCGATGAATTGATAAAATTGGGTTCATACTCTTAAAAATTTATTTATTAATATTAAGACCTATAGATTTTTCTCCAAGTACCTCCACAATGCAGGAATTGCCATTTCGTGGACCTAAAATTTATCTGGGGAAGCATGCATGCCCCCTAAGGCTCAATTACCAGCTGACATTAGGGGAAGCGCCTCATGGGAGGCCACAGCTGGTAATCAAGCCTATTAAGCATGGCGCTCCTCGGACCCCCTAGCATTGTGATGCGCCACAAATGATTACATTTCCAGGTGTCCTAAATTAGAATTCTGGTGATGCCATACTGATTATTTAACTGCCATATAGTATATTAACCACTACAAATTTTTCAGTTTTGATGACAACCTGATCACTCTCATGCTAAGAGTTATATATACAACTAATATTATAATGAATGAAAGCGACAATTTCAAGCCTGTTTCAAACATTGAGCTTCTCATGGACCATATAGTATACGCATTTAGTGACCAATTTGACATTTGTTTCATTGCTAATAATTTTTAAATTTATTCAATTAAATTAGCATGAACAAGATATTTCAGAATTTAAATTGAAGGTACGTATAAATTAATTGCCACAAATAATGGCACAATATATGAGCTATTCCAATTTTAATTCATATTCCCCCCCCCCCCCCATTGAGGAATGTTGGAATTGCAAAAAGGGAGCGGGCCGGGCTTAAAATCCTTTTGGAATTTCTATTATTGGGCAGTCAGGCCTCCATGCAGTCTTAGAAAAAGTTTGAGTTTTGTGACATTAATAGTTTGAAGTAGCACTTATAACACTGCATGCCAACATTTAGTAATTGGCTAATCGCCATTGACGACCATGCGCACCTGCCTAATTAAGATATTATAATAGAGGGTCTGATCGACATATGAATTTCCACAAAGAAATTAGCTACATTTCATCAGAATTTTCATAATAATGCAGGAATTTCCATAGACTGCAAGCGGCCCCTCCTTTGCACGGGTTTAGCTAATTCCCAGGCATGCAACCCGGCTGCAGGCGGAAAGGAGGGACTGCCGACAATTACATCAAGAAACAAAATACGCCCACTTTTTGCTCTTGTCAAGTAATTGCTCCGCCTTTGCATAAACATTACTTATATATCCAATTAAATATATCCAATTAAATATATCCAATTAAATATATCCAATTAAATCCATCTATATAGGTTCAATAGCAACCATTCATTTAAGCCTGTCATGTTTATTTATAAAATCAACATTCAGTCTGGAAATTAATTATAGCATAGTTACTACATATCAGATTTGATTGACAGGGGGGTGTGCTGGGATCAGGCTCGTTGTGTGGGCAACACATATTTCATTTGTTGATGTGTTGTCGGCAGCCCCCCTTTCTCCTGAGGGACTGCTGATGCTCACGATCTAGAATTTCCAAGAAAAGAGATATTTTATTTTATTCCTTTGGTATAATTCCTTGGGAAGTGATATGCAAAAGAAAGGGTTTCTTAACATATAGGGTGTGGATTAAATTGGAATATTTCATTAAATTAATTTCCATAGAAAAAGTAAGAAAGTAAAAATGAAGTAAATAGTAAAATTAACTTATATTGGAAGTGTGCCTTATACTTATAGGTTAAATTCTCAGAATCCAACTGTATTTCAGTATAATTCAGAAAAATTTTTCTGAATTATACCTGAAATAGAGTTGGATATAAGTTGCCAAATTATGTGATAAAAGGACTGGGTCAGGAACCTGCGTCACCTGAATACTTCATCTAAACCTTAAGACCTGAGTGCCTGCAATTGGGACAATAATGAAATTCGCTTCGGAACACTGCTTGGGAAACGTCTGACTTTTCAAAGTCAAAATATCGATCCTTCAAACATATTCATTAATGAATTTTCTTTTCTATATTTATAATCCTTTAAGCTGCAATGTATGTGCCCAATTTATTTTTTACACTGTCTATGTATATAATGCCAGATTATTTTATGTGCACTTTAATGGGTTAGTTATTAACCCATTAAGTGGAGAGTGATGGTGCTCATATAGGGTTAACAAAGCCCACAAACTAGTATGTACGCATGTATATTGTTTCGATCATGGTAACTATATATATTTTCTACATCTTTATAAAGCGAAGTAAAAATCCTTGGCAGCGACCAAAAGAGAAAGAAAAAAAGTTGTCAAAGGAAGAAAGGAAGACTGCTGTATGTTAATTCTCAATTTTTGCTATATTATGTTCTGTGATAAAAAAAGGTTTACAGATGAATGGTCGAAATAACAAAGTCAAGTTATAAGTCGCAGTGACAAACGTTATAAGTCGAAATGACAAGTTATAAGTCAAAATGACAAGTTATAAGAGACTGGTCATAAAGTAACTGCTAGGGTGGGCTGGAGGTAAATCACAAATTTTGCCAATAAGTTTGGTGACCCATCTTAGGATGTAGATAAAAATTTCAAAGCCCATCTAATCTTACCAAATTTATTTCATGACCCACCCACCCAATCTAAATTGGGAAAATACAATTTTATAATAAAAAAAAAACTTGCAAGTATGAACATTGTAAATATACACCGGCACTGTATTGACATATACAATTCCACCAAGCTTGACCAACACATTCACTACCAATTAGGATACTGAGCTGCTCTCCAGCTGGTTGTATTTGCTGTGATTCGACCACTTCTTGTTGTTGTATAAAACAAAGTACTGGCTTCAATAGCATCATTTGCATTTGATAATTTGGATAGTTTTGTTATGTAATATATAATTAACATGGGTTTTTGTTTGGTGGCCCAACCGTGGACATACCAAAAAAATTGACGGCCTATCGAATTACTGCCGAAAGATTTTCCATGGCCCATCCCAAATCACTCCAGCCCACCCTAGCAGTTACTTTATGACCGGTCCCTAAGTCATAATTAATGACAAGTTATAAGTCATAATGACAAGTATACGTTGTAATGGCAAGTTATAAATCAAAATGACAAGTAATAAGTCGTAATGACAAGTTTTTAGGTCGATCGAAATGAGTACGTGATCGATCTAATTATAAGACACAATGATTGTAGAATTTTGACAATATTTTACTACAAATTGAATACCTAGGAATTATACCGCAATGTCGTGGCTATATTGAATAAAATAACTCCGCAAAAGTTCAAGATTTTGGTAAAACAGTTCATGGGACTAAACATCGATACATCTGAACGTCTTGAGGGAGCGGTTGACAGAATAGTCGAGAAGGTATTGTCCTTGCCGAATTTCTAGGAAGAACAGGTTGGAAATGATGAACTGTTGACGTAATATATTATAATTTAGGTTTCCGAAACTAATAATTTCCATTTACAAAACCTTTCTACTATTCTTCAATCGAGTGAGATATGCCAGCAAGTCAATACAACATGGCAGTACCCTAGTATATACATGAACTTTTGCTCGACAACTTAACCCTGTCGATTCTTATAGTTGCATTTTTCGCAGCTGTCCAGGGTGTCCACGGGCCTTGAAAATCCTGGAAAGTCCAGAAAATAAAAATTCCAGGACTGGAAAGTCCTTGAAAATCAGTAGAAGTCCTTGAAAGTTTTCAAGTCTCCAGCTGTGCCAACATTAGTGGTTTTGATTAAAATTACTGAATAAAGTGAATTATTTGCTGGTTAAAGTCTAAACTCCGTGCCATTTTCAAAGATTTTTCCCAGTTCTAGGTCCTTGAATTTACTGAAAAAGGGCCTTGAAAGTCCTGGAAAAGTCCTTGAATTTCATCTTCACCAAAGGGTGGACACCCTATAGGCTAGCTGTCCTTAAATTTGCACTCAATAATTCCCATCTGCAAATTTAAACCGTTCTACTATTGTTCAATCGAGTGAGGATGGCAACAAAATCTTGATATTTACCCATAGCTTAATTAACATGCATGGCAGTACTCTAGTATGTATACATGAACTTGTGGTTAGAGCTCGATAACTGGACGCTGTAGCTCAGTTGGTTAGAGCGCTGCACCGGAATCGCTGGGCCACAGGTTTTCTTGGTCAGTTATAATAAATGTATAGGAATTTACACTCGATAACGATTTCTGTCTACAAAACTGTTCTACAGTTATTCAATCAAAATTGAGATGCCAACAACATCTTTTATAGTTTAGGTTTCCTATACTGTTGTATATAACACTACGTACCAACTCTCAGGTATAAGGGAGCAACCTTTTAGCTAGAACTGATTGAGTTATATCTTGTATACTAAAGATAGTTTATAGTTTCCATTCGTGGTAACATTGGGACAAAAAGGGATGACCCTTAATGGGCCTTTAGGAAGAACAGTTTAGACTGATAGAACTATCAACTACTGCCGATAAAGTTAGTTCTCTAAAGATGTTAATTCTCGTTTAAGTTTTCTTGTTGTTAAACTGCATGCAATGTTTTTTTTTTCAGGCTATCTGTGAACCAATGTACAGTGTTGCTTATGCAAACCTGTCTCGATGTCTCTTTTCGGTAATGCTTTAATCAAACGAATTAACCAGTAACATATTAAAAACTACAGATTATGTCTACTATAAGTCATGGCAACTACATCAATGCTAATGAGATTTGGATATAAGGATTGAAATGCTTTGCCAGATCATAATTCAGTGTTGTGTTTTCCACAATTTAGCACAAAGCAAAACAAGTATAAATAATGTTGATTTTTGTGTGCTAGATAAAGGTTGCTGATGCCGAAGGAAATGACGTATCGTTCCGTAAGTTGTTCATGAATCGATGTCAGAAGGAATTCGAAAGAGAAAAAGAGGATGAAAAAGCGTTTGCAGAGAAAATTAAACAACTCGAAGGGTTATCGGTAGGAATGAATTTGTTTTGCTTCAGCATTATATAAGTTTGATAGAACGATTATATACGCCCGTCAGTTCATATTCAAGTAACGCCTAAGGCCTGTTTTATACCACGAATTTCGGTCGCGTCAAATGCAATTCAAACTACACCTATATATTGTCTTAATTGGATTCGACGCGACCAAAATTCGACGTCTAAAACAGGCCTAACGGTCACAAATAACAGATTGCTTCGAAACAAAACATGGCGGCCATGCTATACATAAAGTAAAAGTTGAGTTTGGGTGGAAAATATGGCTTTTATCTCTTTCTTATTTTTCACTCTGCTCGGTTTCCTTTGTTCTTATCGGGGAATATATTCAATATTCCCCTCTAATCAATTTCCGTTTAATAATCCCCTCTAATATTCACCTGCAATTAATAATCCCCTCTAATATTCACCTGCAATGTCTTTGCAGCACAAAAAATGAGAAAAAAACAACATAACGAAGGCAATATGGCATTAAGAATTATTTCTATTCTGTCTCATTAACGCGACCTCGCAATGTGAAAAATAAGTACGTTATTTTGAGGCACCTTGGGGATATGTGTTTATTCACCTCGGCGCTGCGCGCCTCGGTGAATAAATCACATATCCCCTCGTTGCCTCAAAATAACCTATACTTATTTTTCACCCTGCTCGGTTTCTTTTGTTCTTGTCGGGGAATATATTCAATATTCCCCTGTAATCAATTTCCGTTTAATAATCCCCTCTAATATTCACCTGCAATTAATAATCCCCTCTAATATTCACCTGCAATGTCTTTGCAGCACAAAAAAATGAGAAAAAACAACATCGCGAAGGCAATATGGCATTTATCACTTATTTACTGATACCGAGGGAAACAGTGTGTTTTGTGGACCCGAGACCGTCGATGTTTCCCGAGACCGTCGATGTTTCCCGAGGCGAAGCCGAGGGAAACATCGACGGTCGAGGGTCCACAAAACACACTGCTTTCCCGAGGTCTCAGTAAATAAGTGTTTTATTATATATCAATAGTCAAAGAAACAACAAATTAAAGAACAAATGGACGTAAATACATGAAATATTTTATTGTTAAAACGTTATATTAAACACTGGCTACACTGCAGTTACTTAAAGCAAAAGTTTTAATTACGTACTAGGCATGTCCAAAGGTCGCATCTTCACGTGATGGCGCACGTGATTTTTTTTGTTATTCGCCGGTGGATAACGTATTATCTCCCTCTCGCGCTGTTGCGAGGGAGACAGCCCAATTTCGTCACTCTCATGTGATATGCTCTCAACCAATAAAACACTAGAAAAATGCGACTTTGACTATTGATATATAATAATAAGAATTATTTCTTTTCTGACTCATTAACGCGACCTCGCAGTGTGAAAAATCGGGGATATGTGTTTATTCACCTCGGCGCTGCGCGCCTCGGTGAATAAATCACATATCCCCTCGTTGCCTCAAAATAACCTATACTTAAAGTAAAAAAGACTTTAACAAAACTTACATACAGGGTGTATAAAAAACAACTCAGTGAACAGATTTGAAATTGCTCTCAATTTCGCAAAGCAGCTACTAGTATCCAGTTTTTTATATATATGGCTTCTTTAGGCACTTATAATGTAGAATAATGAAAAAAATTTTGCGAACACAAATTTTGTAAACCAGGGGGGTGCGTCTTTTCCGACAAACTAAAAATGACTTGCGCACGCGATTTAAAAGCTATATAATCGTATTTTGAGTTAATGGATGAAAAATGTGTTGGGTGTTTAATTGCTGCACGAAATTTCAGACAATTTGCTTCAGTTTACGCCCTTCAACTATCCATGCAAACTTACATTTTTTCTAAAAAATCAGCAATTTGCATGCTTAATTAATGCATTTGCCCCCTGATATAACGTTACGCCACTGTCCTGGGCTAGGGTACATTTTGATTTACGTTGGACAAAGCTATACAGTTCGGTCGGACACCAATATACTCGGGTCGCGGACAAACAATAAACCTCAGTTTCGCTTTGATCGGACAGAATGTCCGGTGGTTTCCTTTCTACGTCGGACAATTTCACGAATGGGTCGGACAATGTCCGTGACCGACCGATATTTTAAGGCCTGTAAGACTTCTATATTGATTCTCTTTGTATAGGTCCATGCGTTTTGTTTAATTTAAGAAACTTTTACCTCACTATTATAAATTTAAGTTAGCATCGAGTGGTCTTCGTTTTTCACAGGAGGAAGAGAAAAAGGCAAAGAAAGAGAAAATGGACGAAGCTATAGCGAAGAACAAAAAGCGGATGTTGGCAAATATTAGGTTTATTGGAGAATTATTTAAACTGAGGGTGTGTTAATTTGTTTGTGAGTCATTAATGATTGAAGCACAAAGAATGGAAAAAGCGATTTCGACCGGAATTTTTAATCGGCCGTATTTTGTCATTTTTGCTTGGAATGATGCAAAAAAGTGCCATTTAAAAGCTAAAACTCTAATCTTTATAAAGAAGAGAATCTTTTGTATGGTACCTAACACGCGGCTCAAGACTAATGAATATACTTTTTTACTTGGTTGTGTCTATATTCAAATTCGTAAAGTTCTGCACGTTTCTCAAGCGGCAAGGAAACTTAACGTTAAAGTATGCTTAGTGCTTTATTTGTAAAATTATTCTAAAGTGAAGAGATTTTAGATGGGACGCCAAAGAGAAAATAATGTCTGACGTTTAGTAAGTTTCGCTTGTATTGCTTTAAATATGGCGTCACTTTTAAAACTGATAATTGTATATAATTGTGTATTGATATAATTGCCTTTTAGTCTGAAAACATTAAATCTGCATGTGCATTCAATATTGAGCGCACAAGAGCACGCTAAATTTGGATTGGATGGACAAAATATGAGGCGACAGGTGTTAAATATGTGAAAGAGTAGAAGTATCTACTATCAAAAGTCAACTTTCTAGAGATCTCCTTTTTACATTAATAATTTCAATTAAATGTGTGTGCATGCTGCCATATTTCTTGTCCCTCCAACCTGGCATTCGCGCGACTAGATCCAGGACTTTGGGAAATGGCTAATTTAATCTCTTTGTTTCAGTTGTTAACGGAGAACATTATGCATGACTGTGTATTTAAACTGCTGCGTGCTGGCGACGAAGAAAGTTTGGAAAGCATGTGCATGCTACTGTTCATCATTGGCGAAGATCTTGATTCCGATAAAGCCAAGGTAATTCACTTTATGTATGGTTGGAATTGATGGTTGGAAATGAATGTGTGACTTTCAGAGCCCTCGGTGTATTCATGCATGAATTACAATTCTGCGACTAATCCGGTTTTGTAGTCGTGTGGCAGTAAGGGACATTAGCTAAAGCTGTTGGAGCTATATCAGTTATATCTATAGTATGGCAATATATAAAAGGATGACTTTCACCATTCTTCCAATGGGAACAATTTAGACACTAGAACTTAATAGAGCTATCTTGTATATTACTACAATACAATTAGAAAAATGCACCTTTGGAAAGAGTTCTGTTGTGAGTATTATATGTATCTCACTCTGTTTTGCAATCATTTTAATCATATAAACAACTTCATTTTAGCCTCGAATGGAGCAGTACTTCGATCAGATTAACAGGATTATAGCTGCTAAGAAAATCTCATCAAGAGTGATATTCAAGCTTCGTGATGTGATCGAGCTTCGTCAAAATAAGTGGCTCTCTCGCCGGGAAGAAAATTTTTATCCCAAGACCATTGATCGGATTCACAAAGAAGCACAAATTGAGAAAATGCTGGAACAAAGATCAACAGGCCAGTTGCCCGCTAAGAATAATAAACACAAGAAAGTCAGGCCAGGTAATATTATGGAATATATAGCCCTTGGTAAAATGCTAAAATAGCTCAAGTATATCAGAACAATGAGCGACTGAATGGTACGAATAACTGTGTGCTTTAAAAAACAATGAAAAGACAATTACCATTCCGATCATTGATATGAATCGTCAATCGCGATTAGATGACACTGTTGTAAAGCGTCATTTACACTTGCAATTTTTGCTGCCATTTCTTGTGCGATATGTATACCATTTTCTGACCATCTCTTATCACCAATCTCTTACCCAGAGCAATACCTGTGCGCGAGCTAGGAAGGCATTGGCTCTGGGGGAATAGAATTTTCCCTGTGCTGTAATTGGTTTAACGTTTATCAATAGTGCATGCCGACAAAGTACCCAGACCCCTAAATTTAGGGGTTCCGGTTGTCTATTTCCCCAGAGCCAACTCCTTCCTAGCCCGCGCACAGGCATTGCTCTGGGTCCTTAATTGCTGGTTTATATTCATCAGAAAAAGAGAATCCCACAAAAAATTCGCAGCAAAAATTGAAAGTGTAAACGTCTGTTAAGTGTGTCGTTCGTTTAAATTAATTTCCTTTCTGGAAACCAAAAGCGGTTTGCTCACCTCCGGAAACATGGTTAGGAAACAATATTTCTGCAACAACGTTCACTAGTTTGTCCTTATCCAGGCTAGTATTAATAATAATATGCAACATTCACTGATGTCTTACAATATTACATTCACAGGGGGACGAGACTATTCTAAGCCAACATCAAATGATGGATGGATTGCCACTGGCAAGGGTGGAATGTCTTTCCCTATTCATCAAAATAAGCTGAGGAACATGGCTAAGGTAATATCACATATAGAATAAATTTAAGTTAATTTCACGTCATCTAAGTTAATTTCAAGTGATCAAAACGTAACAAACAGGGACCGGTTGTACGAAGGACGGATATAGCGCTATCCATCAGATTGTGCACGTGATTTTTTCAACCGTTGTAAAATGCTTGAAAAGCTGTAAAAATACGGAGATGAACGTCACAATTAATAAAAAGAAACTTTGATTTGTAAATACTTAAAGTTAAACTGGGTTATACCAATCAGCGGATAATTTTTAGAAACTTAAAGAAATCAAGTGAAAAAACGCTTTCGTACAACGGCACAGGCTAGATAGTCGACTGTCGTACAACATAGGTGTTGAGGAAATGAATTCAGTCACTGGAAAGAGCAGCTGAAAATTAGTAGGTAAACAAATTTGTCTATACATTTTGTTAAATCTTGAACTAATAATTAAGTTTATTGCAGCGAGCGAATAATGAGGAAATCTCTGTGGGTCCCAGTGGTCGGTTCGGACAGTGGGGTCGCGGCAACTCCGCTGGTTTGAAGAATTCTTCACAAGAACAAGATCAACCTCAGGCGAACAGATTTTCGGCATTAAGTAGTGGTGGCGGTGGTGGAGATATGCCATCCAACCGTCCATACGACCCCAGAAGGTCTAATTCAGCTGGTTCAAGGTAAGGTTTCAGCCGTGGGTTTTCTTCGAATGCTTCGGTTTTCTCCCACAGGCAAAGTTGGCAGGGAGGGCTAGAATTGTTGTAAAAGATAATTAGTCTAGGCTAAGTATAGATAATACAAGTAAGCGTAATACTTGATATAATCGGTCACTGAAAAGCCCCATGCATTGGAGAATGAGCTGAAAAATACTGTATAATAGTAATAGTAAGACTAAGACTGAGGCTGAGAGTAACAGTAACAGTATAACTGTAACAATAACAGTAATAGTGACGTAACTGTATGTAACAGTAATAGTAATAGTAATAGTAATAGTAATAGTAATAGTAATAGTAATAGTAAAGGTGTTGTATTTTTGATAACTTAACATGTAGAGCAGTGGACTAGATTACTAAAGGTTGAGATTTGAAATCTCGTGTGCAAATATGAAGGTAGCCTGCGTACGTAGCAGTTGCTTTAAATTAAGCGATTGCTACGCAGGCTACCTTTATATATAAGCACACGAGATTTAGGCAGTAGACTAGATTCTTGAAGGTTGAGAGTTTATATAAGCACACGAGATTTAGGCAGTAGACTAGATTCTTGAAGGTTGAGAGTTCAAATCTTCTCGCGTACTTATAAAGGAAAATAACTGACAAACAATCTCTGTAGGCTTGATAACTTAAGTGGTGGACTAGATTTTTGACGGTTGAGAGTTTAAATCTCGTAGGGATAAGAATTCACCACCAATCTCTGTAGGCTTGACAGCTGACAGCTTCTCATGTAGAGCAGTGGACTATAGGCCTGATAGCCCAAGAAGTTCGAAGTTACTTGATAGCAGTGTTGTAACGAGTCGAGTCATTGACTCTGACTCGAGTCAACTCGAGTCGTTATTTTCAGCGACTCGACTCGAGTCCAATACGAAAAATGACTCGACTCGACTCGAGTCAACAGCCCCAAATGACTCGACTCGGACTGGACTTGCTCATTTTGCCGTAAATGACTCGAGTCAACTCATCTACAACTTGTACAGAGTAAATTCATCGCAATTATTGTGATTGTATTGCTTGGGAAGAACAATATGAGCCCTGTAAACAATGAGAACTTCGAAACTTTATCAGAAAATATATGGGATTTGCATAGAATATATTCCTGACGGGCATACTTATATTACATTTCTGTTTTTAGAAACAACGCTAGTGCCACAGTTTTTTTAAAATTAAGTCTCAAAATGTTTTGTACTTATACTAATTCTGACAGGCTATTTTCATTTTTGGTATTTATGAAGGGCTATATAATTTCAAATCAACTTACAAAGCGTTGTTAATTAAAGTCTATTCTTTATTAATTCTGACTCCAGTTGCAAGTTTTGCTAGTTGTATGTACGTACACTCGATCAGCAGGTATGATGAGACATCTCACGTGGTTGACTGGAACTGTGATAATATTGGCACAGCCTATAGCTGCCCAGATACTGTTATTAATTTAAATGACTAAAGTAATTAGTTTAAAACGCAAATTTGATTACTAATTTCCGACAGCAAGCTAGGGTAGCTCAAGTAAAGTCTAGAAATTGACTCGACTTGACTTAAATCAGTGACTCGACTTGACTCGAGTGAAGCCGCTGACTCGACTCGACTCGAGTGAAGCCACTGACTCGACTCGACTTGATCAAAAACTGAAATGACTCGACTCGACTCGTGACTCGACCTTTGAGTGACTCGACTCGACTCGTGACTCGACCTATAGGTGACTCGTTACAACACTGCTTGATAGACTTTCACATTTTTAGGCCTTCGTCTGGTGGCTCACGGGGAAGTGATAAAAGTCGGGTCAAAAGTGATAAAGACAGAGAGAGC